ATGCTAAAAATTATTTATCTGAAATTCAAATGTAACCGATGTACTGTTTTCATTTTTTCTTAAATCTGGCAGCCCAACTTTGAGGGGAGGAGGTACAGAAGTTAGGTTTGTGCTCGATGTTGCCAAACTATCACAGGAATAAGAAACTGCCTCCTCCTCTGATAAAATAGCCTCCCTACTCCAAGTTTGGCAGTGCAGGAAGATGCAGACTGGAACTAGATTGTCCCAGGGTCTAACAATCGGGGTAGGGCTGATCTTGTGATGTGTATCAGCAGTGAGGGTAGAATGAAGAAAAAAACCTTTCCTTGACTACCTTCTCTTGGTGTCTCTAGGTCTCGCTTTCACATGGCTTCCTCTAATGTCTTTTTATCTGTGGCAATGGTGTAACAACTGCCATGTTAAAAAGAATTGCTGGAAATTCTCCTCTTCTAAAGAATGTTTTCTTTAGAGGAATATTTTCCATGTTATCGCCCAGCCTTGCCTCCAATGATCCTGAATAGTCTTCCAGTGTGGGGCATCCGAACTCAGAGCCTCAGCATGTGTCCTGAGGACACCTTCCCTTGGTGCTCTCAGGGGCTTAACCGGTGCCCCACTTACATGGGCCTAGGGAGGGCACTAACTTACCAGTGGGAATAAAATCCTTCTTGTGATTCCCTGGAGCTTTGCCAAGGTTAGGCTGGCCTTTAAAACAAAGGTTTACTCTAAGTTCAGGAAGGACAAAAGGGAAATCAACATAGAGTAAGGAGAACCCAGAGATAGGATCTGGGATCAGTGTTTCCCAGGCTTGCCTGCTGATAGAATTCCTTGGTGTGCTTGGTTGAATGTGCGCAGAGAGTTCCATGCCTCTCTTCTGGAAATTTAAATTAGAAAAGTCTGGATCGATGCCTGAGAATCTGCTTTTAACAAGCACTGTAGGTGATTCTGATTTGCAGCAGGGCCGAGAACCTCTTATAAAATAGGTGTGGTATGGGGTCATTCTCATGGTCTTGTAGTCTCTTCCCACCCCAGCTGCCTCCATGTTAACCCCACCACCTGGAAGCCTGGCCTTTGACCTTGAGTATTCTCAAGGCCATTTATTTCCAAACTCCAGTGAGTTTAAGAAATGCCCAGGGTTTGCTTGCTCGTTTTTTTTTGTTTTTTGTTTTTGTTGTTGTTAAAATGTTGATTCCTAGCCCCATGCCAGGAGATTCAGATATAGTAGGCTGAGGGCTGAGCCCAGGAATTTGCATTTTTAAACTCTTAAGGACTTTGGTCTTTGCCAGTGGTGTTTGGACCTGGTTTAAAAACCTCGTCTTGATAAAGGAAAGGAAAAGACACAGAGTGATGACAAGCCCTTTCTGCCTGGTTAAAGCCCACCTCCTCGGTGACTGGTCCTGGGTGACTGATACCAGGAATGACCAAGCTTTTCAGGGGAGATCACATTTTCTCACAGGAGTGTGATCTGACCTGCAGGCTTACCTTGCTGGGAGTCATCATACTGGAATACAGCAGGGTAACCCGTATTCTTGTAAAAAGTACTCATGCATAGAGTGGAACACGCGTTCTGTTCCTGCCCTTCAGTGTGGGACACTGCAGCTCTTGGTCTGGGCAGCGGAGTGGGTTTAACTGTGTCTAGTAACTTTCAACAATATGGGGATGAACTTCTAGACCAAAGATTGATTCAGAAACCATACATAAGCTCCTAAATCCACTGGGGTTGGACCGTAGAAACAGTTGGAAAGAGTAGCAGCCTCCAAGATGAGCCCCTGCACGCCCCCATTCCTCTGCCCCCCACCTCTGCCTTAGCCCCAATTCGGTCTTATCGCTGCCTGGGAGCAGGAGATGGCTATTGTTAAACCATATTAGTCCAGCTGAGCCAGTGGGTCTCAAACTTGAGCACTATCAGAATTCCCTGGAGGGTCTGTTCACACATGTTTACCCACTCCCAGAGTTTCTGCTGCAGTAGGTCTGGGGCGGGGTCAGGAATTTGCATTCTCACAAGATCCCAGGAAGTGCTGATCTGGAACGGATTTCCCTAAACCACTGCGCCCCCATGAGAGTGCTCAGCTCCAGTAGCATAGGTCAGCCCACTCAGGACTCTGCTTCCCTCTGCCTTTCTCAGGGTCATGAAAATGCTGGTGTTTGAGGTGTTTTGTTGTTGTTGTTGTCATTGTTGTTTTGTTTTTTTGCTCCCAATCCTTCCAGATAATTTCCCTCTATTTTCTGTGGATTCTGCCCTCCTTCATCCCAATTGGGCCCCAAGCTGAGAGCAGCCTTCCCACCCGAAGCCACGCACATCTTAGAGAATTCCCTTGCCCCTTGCAGTGATCAGAGGCTGAGAGGGGCTGAAAGAGGTGTGAGGAGCCAGAACTAGAGGCTGCTTTCATCCTTCTCCTGCCCACATTCCGCCCCACCACCCTGTTCAAGCATGTGTCTCATTATGGGCCCCTTGACTCAGGAATGGAATTTCCCAGCGGCTGGGTGTGTGGTATTCGGGTTAGTTGGGTATGCTTGTTAGGTAAGAAGTTGCTGAGAGCCTCATAGTTGTGGACAAAAAAGGGGTTCTGTGGAAAGTAACCTCATAGGGTGATCTGATCATAAATTTTTAACTGAGCCAGTCATGGTGGGTGGTCAGGCCCCCGGCATACAGCTTCTTTAGTAAAAGGCTTCTCTTTGCCTTAAGCCAGCCCTGTCCCCCGTTTCTGTACATCTAACTTAGTGTACCTTTGAAGTGCCCCCTTTCAAACCCCTCCTTCTAATAGCTGAGCACCGCTTCAGACCTCTGCTTCTAAAGCATGACCACCCTCAGGGGAGCACATAATCTTAACTATCCTGTAATCTGAGCCCTGCCTTGCTTTCTCCCACTTTTATGTAATCTTCCTGAATCTCAAATGCATCAAAGAAAATGCAAACTGTTATTTTCTGAAGCATTTCTCTCAGTCTGTTGAAATCTTGTTTCCAGGCATATCCTCTGTTTGATTCAAATACATTTTTGTAAAAATACTTTACAGGTTTTGGACATTCTTACATTCACGAAGTCCTTGTGACCATTGACCTAGAAGTTGTAGTGATGTTTGGTGACATTTCTTGGTTTGCCTCCCACTGTGGCCCTGTGCCACTCAGGAGATGGCATTGAACCAGCCTTGTTGCATCCCTGACATGACCTATACTGGGAGAGCCTGGTATTCAAGGAAATTGTCAGTAACCTGAGCTGGGGAAATGGTTGAGAATCAGTTTTATGAGGCTGTAAAATAGAATGATTACGAGCGAAGACTCTAGACCTGTATAGTCTGGGTTCAAATCCAGCTCTGTCTCTTACTACCTGTGTGATTGTGGGAATGGTAAGCAAAACTTTCTTCCCCGTTTTGCACAGGAATTTGACTTTCATTTAACTTTGTATCTTCCTTTGGGAATGTGAAAATAAAGTCAATTGCATTTAGGCAACATTGCTTATAAAAATGACCTCTTGTGATAAAAATGACTGCACCTGGACTGGGAGATCTTTCCTTATCCGGTGAGAAGCCATTCTTTGTGCTTTGCTGAATATGGTGATTCTTTTCACTGACCTGTCCTTTATAGCAGGGGTCCCCAACCCCCAGGCTGCGGACTGGTACCAGCCAATGGCCTGCTAGATACTGGGCCACGCGGGAGGAGGTGAGCAGCGGGGGAGGGAGTGAAGCTTCATCTGTATTTGCAGCCGCTCCCCAGCACTAGCATCACCGCCTCAGCTCCACCTCAGATCATCAGGCATTAGATTCTCAAAGGAGCACTGGTACCTGGTGCCAAAAAGGTTGAGGACCGCTGCTTTATAGGGACCCTGGAAGTTGTGCCAATGGAGTTGTTACAAGCGATAGTGGATCCTGTCAGGTGTTAAGCCAGAGTGGTTGCCATACCCACCTTTCCCTGCACCTGATCCATCACTTTGGTGGCCAAAGAGACTAGCTTTGGGATGGCTCAATGGACTAGTGTCTATGGACTGGTCCCATTGAAGAGGAACTCCAAAGGTTGCCCTGTCCGAGATCTGTGTCCCATCCTGTATTCTTCTAAGTGGATCTAATGTCAGATGTGCCCAGTGATAGTCTTGTGAGCCTCATTGTTTGGTTAAAACTAAAAAGAGCCCTTGTAGGCATTACAGAGAAACCTCTGTATTTGTTTTTAAACTGTGTGAATTTTTCTCATCGATAAAATGAGGATGATGGTATCACCTACCTTCTAGGGTTGTTGAGAGGATTGTAAGATGTTTTGAACAGTGTCTCGTATATAAGTATGTGCTGCTGCCGCCATCATCATCATCATCAGTTATTAGGAAAGGAGGGCAGGAGGCCCTCCCTCTTTTGGGTCAGTCCCAGTCTCATCTTAGTTACTAACTCACTATGGCTTTTGACAGATGCCCTCATCTCTAAGGACACAGATTCTCACAGTATATTCTGGGTTTTCCATTTATTTGTTGAGTCAATGAATTAGGAGAGTCAACTAAATGCTCTTTAGGGTCGGTCCTTTCTGGTTACAAATATAAAATTTTGTGTGATATTGAATCTGAGAAGAAAGCTGAAGGAGGGATGGCGAAAGAGGTGAGAAACCACCTGCAGAGGGAGTGGGGTCAGGGGTCAGAGGTCAAGCAGTCTGGAGAGGACATAGTTCATCGGGAGGAAGTGAAAGGTGTCCAGTAGTTCCACTGACCCTATAGGTCTAGCCAGGGCTTACGGGAGGAATGTAGATGGTTCTGACTGGGGAGTAATATTTCCTAGAGCCCTTGTTTCCAGGGCAGGCCTACAGGGATCAGAGGGCAAGGATGTGCGGCTACTAGATCGAAGTGGCTACTTTTGGTTGTTTGAGAGTACTTCTCTGAGAAAAATTGCTGAGTAGTCTCATGCTCCCTGGATTTTTGTCTTCTGAGGACACCACTCACAGTAACAGCAAGGAGGAGGATGTCTGACCTCCTGAATCGCTGAGGGGAAGAAGATAGCGGTGGCCCTAGCAGAAGGCTGACCCTAATGCTGTGTGTCTCCCTCCCTCCTTAGGTCTGAATGCTGGTGCTTTTTATGCCTTGTCCACTCTGCTGAATCGCATGGTGATCTTCCACTATCCGGTAAGAGTCCCCTAAGCATGCTTGGCTCTGAGAATGAGGTTTCCGAGTCTGTCTTTGCAGTTCCTGGGGCAGTGGTTATTACCTCGTGGCTCCCCCAGTTCTAGGCAGTGCAGTATGGTGGTTATGTTTATGGGATTTGGAGGGCAATAGCCCTGGGTCTCAACCCCGGGTCCAGTGGCACTAAACTTGTGACAAGCTGTTTAGAATCTCTGAGCTCGCATTCTCTGTTCTGTAAAAGAAGCATAATTACTTACTGAAAGATTATTTTTAAGATTAAAAAGTAAATAATATCATGTGTGTATAAATACACTCATATCTATCATATGTGTAAAACGCATAGCATGGTGCCTGGCAACACAGTAGGTACACATGTACATGTAGAATCATATATGAAATATTTAATTTGTAAAATGTGGGCAAGGTTTAATTTTGAACTTTTAGTCACTCACTTGAAAGTATTTTTAAGATGTTTACAGAACCAGTGAGGTCTGGATGCTGGGAGTCACGAATCCCGGGTCCAACCCTCTTGTGAAAGGACCCCAGGGTCTTATAGTTACAGAGGCAGTGGGTGTTCCAGTTTTGGAGTTTGATAGGTCTGAGTTCAAATCCTAGCTCTGCACTTAACAAATGCTTCATGACCTTGGACTAGTAGGTTAATCTCACTGTGCTTCAGTTTCTTCATCTGAAAAATGGAAAATACTGATTCCTAACGTTATGGTGGGGAATTATGAGAATGAAATGAGATAATGATGTAAAATCCTCAGCATGGTGCCTGGATCATAATAAGTGTTCAAAAATATGTAACTATTATTTTCTCATTCATTTTGGTACTGATAGCTCAAAAAAATCTTAAGTGTGGAATATTTGGATATACATATTTCCCTATCTGTGAAATGAGAATAATAATAAATAAGAGTTGCTGTAAAGATTACATCATTAAAAAAAAAATCTACCTAAAAGTGGTTTTAAGGACAGAATTTTGTTCATCCCAGCATCCAGTGTTGTGTACACACACCTGGGGTTATATTATGTTGAGAGGAGCAACTATTCTAGGGTTTTCTCCCCACTGGCAGCTTCTTAAAGGCCACCTTGTTATACTTTCTGAGAGCTGGCCCTAATGAAGCCTGAGTTACTTGCCTTTGTCCTCTCACTTCTTGGTGACTATACTGTCTGTGTCTTGTGCTTTCACTGGGTGATTATTGGGGCTATGATTTTCCCAGGGGGAAGAAGTGAATGCTGGAAGAATTGGCTTGACCATCGTCATTTCAGGAATGCTTGGGGCTATGATCTCAGGCATTTGGCTGGATAGGTCCAAAACCTACAAGTAAGTGACTCTTCCTCTTGGACTGGAAATTGGGGACCCACTTTTGAAATGATATATTCATTACCGATGTGGCTGAAAAGATTTGGGTGTGGCAGCTGACTGGTCAAGTGGGCAGTTCAAATTTATCTTCTCTGAGCCTCAGTTTTCTCATTTATAAAATGAGGGAAGCAATACCCACCTTCTGGGGATCTTAGGGACATTAGAAGATGCAAGGCCTAGCACAGTATCACCCCCCAAATAGCTATGGAAGGGGCAGATGGAGAGAAATGAGAACGAATGTGGAAAAATGTCAGCAGTTAGAAAGTTTGTGGAAACCCCAAAGAGTGGAGATGAGGGGCTGATTCCACTGGCCTGTTCCCATGGCTACCTCTTGGACCCCATAGGGTTAACCATGGTGCTCTGTGCTTACATTGATTTGGAGTGTATTATCTTGTCATTGCTTATACATCGTTGGTAAATATTGTGATGTGCTTTGAATCTGAATGCCCAGTGCGTTTCTAAGAATACGGAGCAGTCTTTTTAAGATTTTCGTACATGTCAGGCTAATCCAAGATGCTTATTAAAAGTACAGATTCCTGGGCCCCATGCTCATGGATGCCAATTCAGTAGGGGACTCTGCATTTGTAAAAAACACACGATGCCTCAAATCAGTAGCCAGGCTCAGAGAAAAGACTGGAGAACAGAAGCCCCAAATCCTTCCCTTCTTATTGCATTTTTTCAGTGCTCTGCATGCATTGGGTGCTCAATTAATGCTGGCCAGCGGTGTAGCTGCCAGGGTTGTCTGGCGCTGGGGCAGGGTGGGATTCTGGGCTGCTTTGTTGAGGCCTCCAAAGTTCCCAGTGTCTGGAGGTGACAGACAGTGGCAGACCTGTTCTCTGTCACACAAACCCACTTCTGTGAGGCTCTGGTCAGACCAGGTTTCCCTCTGGCTGCTCTAGTCAAAGGCCAGTTGAGGCCATCCCCGGGATGTGGCTGCCTGGCTGAACAGAATGAGGAACCTGGCTTAGCTTAATTAACTGCTGGTAGAGCTTGGCCGCCGTCTCATCTCTGTCATCCATCAATTGCTTGCTTTAGCCAGACATGAGAGCAATTGGACTGGCCATCCCCAAACCATGAACAGCACTGTCTCTGTTTCCAGGGTTTGCTCTGTGGCAGGAGAAGGAGGGATTGGAATGTCGGCTGAACTGGGACTTGGGCAGCCAGATGATTCAGATGAAAATACAGTGAAAGGGCTAAGGAGGACACTTCAGAACCTAGAGGTCACCAGTTCCTTAGAGTCACTGATGCCTAGATCCTGCAGTCAGCATGAAACATTCTTCTCTCTGCACTACTACCCAGGCAGAGAAAGCTTGAGCAGACTTTAGAAGCTGGTCATTCCAGTGCCAGTTCTCTCTTCCCTAAGGCTCCCAGATTTGTCCTCTGGTTTGGAGGCTGGAAATAGGGTGGTCAGATCTCTTCCTCTCAGCTACTATGGATAGTATTTTTAGACGGGTCAGTGGTTTATGATGAAGCTATGGTTAAACAAATGTGGCAAAAGATGAGCTTGTGGAGTCAGCGAGAGAGATTAGTGTCCACGAAGTCACTTTCTGCAGGGTGGGTGGGACTAGACGAGGGGAGTGGGGTGGAGGAAGGGCGATGCTCCTCTGCCCTCAGCAGCTTTGGAGCACCAGGTAGGAGGGGCATCCTTCAGAGGCTCTGGCCTTGGGCTTTTCCAAAGCTGCAACCACATAGCATAGTAGTATTCCTCTGTGCAGCAGTAGAAAGAGCACAGGGTTCCAATCCGAGCTCTGGGTTCCAATCTCAGCACTGCACTTACCTAATGGGTGACATTGGACAAGTAACTTAACTGATCTGAGCCTCAGTTTCTTCACTTGTAAGATTAGGGGTAGTCTTACGTTTCTTGCAGGGCTTTTGTAAAGGTCGAATGAAATAATAAACACATGTAAAACGCTTAACAGAATTCCTGGCACCCAATAAATACAGCAGTTAGTTTGACACTACCTGAGTATATGTCTGCCGATGCCTCTACCGTGTTTCTGGCTTCAGGGGAGACGTGTGAAGGCTTTAAACTTTCATTGTCTGAGTCCTGATGTTATGGCAGGAGGGCAGAGAGGTGTACAGGCCCAAGCAGGAGTCAGGGCGACAGCAAAGTCCAGAGTGGTCACCATGGGAGAAGTGTGTGCAAGGGCACAAGCAAGGTGAACCTGAAACAAACAAGCATGTTGCTGATGGTCCTTCTGAGGCGACTGACAGAGAGAAGCGTGACAGGGAAGTGGGTGGAGCTTTCTCACTTTGGCTCTGGGGTCAGGTATTCAGTTTAGGTCTGGAGAATATTCTCTCTTAGTTCCTGCTGTCTGGAGCAGAGTAGTTCAGATT